GTTAATGTCAGCATCTTCAACGTTTAGCAGTGTTTCTTGGAGTTCAACCGGAATACTGTTTCGAACAACTTCACTATTGGAGCAGAACTTGTGAACTCCAAATCCTCCTCGCCTCAGTAGTTCCGTATGTTGCTTGCAGATTTCAATCACCTCTTGCTCGGTATTTGCCCCAGTAAGAAAGTCGTCGATATAGCTGTTATCTTCAATGACTCTGGCTGCGAGGGGCAGCTCAGATGCTTCATCCTTTGCCAATTGCATCAATGTGCGCGTTGCCAGGTATGGTGCACTGGAACAACCGTACGTTACAGTTGTCAACTCGAATGTTCCGACTTCGTTATTTGAATTCAGCCATAGAGTGCGTTGATACTTCCTATCATCTTTGTGGACATACACCTGACGATACATCTTCGGAACATCTGCTGTTATTGCCACAGGAAAGCAGCAAAATCGGAGGAGAATTGTGATAAGGTCGTTTTGCACTGTTCGTCCTGTCTCTAAAGCATCGTTCAGCGAGAGACCTGACGTGGTCTTCGCCGAAGCGTCAAACACTACACGGATTTTTGTCGTCGAGCTTGACTCCTTGTAAACGGCGTGATGAGGTAAGAAGTAGCAATCATTGGGATTGTCATGGACCTCAATCATATGACCGAGGGCCAAGTATTCTGTCATGAATTCAGTGTATCGATTCTTCTTGTTTTCGTTGACGAACGATCGTAGTAGACGATTGAAACGTGTCCGTGCGGTTTCCAAGGAATTGCCAAGTTGAACCTTGTTTTCGTTGAATGGCAGTCTGACAGTGTATCGACCTGTTTCCTCACGGGAAAATGTTCGCTCGTAATGTTTCTCTACGGCTTGTTCTGCTGGTGTGTATGGTAAGGCTTCCTGGCATGTTTCCAACTCCCAGAACTTCACGAGGGTGCGATTGAGTTGTTCGTCGGTGAGGTTTAATTGGCAAACTCTACGATTCGGACCGCCTTGATCCACCTTTACGGGACCGCTGACAATCCATCCAAGATGTGTTTCAACCAACATGGGTGTTCCGCCTGCAAGCTTCATACGGCCGCCCTTCAGTAATTCGAAAAATAGTTCAGCGCCGATGATCATTTGGATTTCGTCGGGAACGTGGAACGACGGATCCGCCAAAGCTAGGCTTGCGGGAATTGTCCAGGAACGTATGTCGACCTTCATGAGTGGCAGATTGGTGGTGATCGTTGGTACCACCAAAAAGTCTAGAAAGGCGTTGAACGAATTAACGCGAGAGCTGATCTTTGCACAAAGCTTATACTTAACTTGCGTTTCAGCGTTATTGACCCCGCTGATTGGGATGTTGACGTTTTCCATGACAATGTTCAATTTTCTCGCAAGAGCTTCACAGATTAAGTTCGAATCAGATCCTGAGTCCAACAAGGCACGGCATACCACAGTTTTATTTCCGGAATCACACACAAGCACTTCTGCGGTCGAAAGGAGCACATGTTGTTTCAGCATGAACGAATTTGCACAGTTGATAGATCCATGTGTTTGTACAGCAATCTCACGATGATCTTCTGCAACGGCGGGAACTGACGCAGTTGATTGGCTTACCAGTGTCTTGTAAGCTGTGGGCTTATCTTCATGCAGGAGAGTATGATGTTTTCGCTTGCATGTTTTGCACGTCCTTTCAGAATTCTCGCGTCACTTTTCAAATAGACCAATGTAACAAATGTAAACAAATCGAGTTAAGCGATACAAACTATCGCTCTTCTGTCTATGTATGTGATACAAAAACATCCATCCAAATTTACTTTCATTTATTTAAGATAATCATTGATCAAAAATTATCCAATGTACAGTTTGAAATGATGGGTACATGATTGTTACTTCGGTCATTCGGACTGCCTAACATGATTGGTGCTCATTTTCCATAGGCGGGGCCAATCTAAAGTTAGGTACTATACTTTGAAATCTGTGAAAGGGAATCTAGTATCATGTAGACAAAACGTCCAATGTAACACTCATTGATTATGTCATTGAGAAAAATCGTCCAATGTAACATGTCCGATGTACAACTCGACTTGTCAAAACGTCCTATGTGATTTTTTCTATGTTGTAGCATGAAATTCAAAGTAAAATTGTGATTTTACTGTTTCTTCTGAATTTTCAACGTTATTATATGCTGACTACATTAAAAATAGTAATGCCAAATGTATTGTTTTTAAACAGTTAAAATAATAATCTGTCGAACTTCAACTTCGATTTTCTCAAAATGGTGGATATGTTACATTGGTCTATTTGAAAAGTGACGCGAGAATTGCACTCACCCGTACAATGGCCGCGTCGTAGGCAATTGAAGCAAAGACCGATTTGCTTCACTTTGATGAACCGTTCATTGACAGTGAGTCCTTGGAAAATGTCACACTTGTAAATCAGGTGATCACCACTGCAGCAGAAACATGCATCTTTGGCCTGGCTGGATGTTTGTATGAAATTCCTCCCTTGAATAGTTTTCTGTTCCGGTTTACTTTTCAGCTTCGTTGGAGCGGGAGGTCGTGGTTCATTGTAGCCTTTCATTTTCTGCAGAATGCGACCTCGCTCGCGTAAGAAATCAACCATATCAGCATACGTAGGCAGCTCATCCACTGGGAGCTGGGATTCCCACAGTTTCCTTGTTTCTTTATCCAACTGTTTGGAAATTACATTGACCAGTATCATTTCCGAAAGTCCTCCCACAGGTAGCTCTCGATTCTTCAAAGCGTCAATATTTTTGGTACAGGTATCGAGTAGGTTCCGCAATTCATTGCCGTTCTCACTCGTCATCTTGGGGAGGTTGAGTAGAGCATCTATGTGAGTGTCAATTATGAGTCGCTCGTCTTCATAGGTGTCTTCTAGCATCTTCCATGCCGAATCGTAATCGTTGTTGTTGATTACGTCTTGGTCAATCTTACCAGCAGCGTTTCCAACAAGGCAATTCTTCAAGTGGTAAAGTTTAATCGCCGGAGACTCATCAGGGTACCTGTTCATTATAGTATTGAACATACACTTAAAAGAGTACCAATTCTCAAGACTGCCGTCGAATGTTGGCAGCGGTACCTGCAGATGAGGTGTCGAATTCTTCACTACCACTGGTTGCTGCGGCACGAAAGCAGGCGCCAACGCATTCATTTTTCTTCGCTGTTTGTCTTCTTCTTCTACATTCCACTTTTCAATTTCCGTTTGAACTTGCACAAACAGCTCGTTTCGGAAGTAGTCTCTTCTAAACTCGTCACGTTGATCCCTCGAAACGAGTTCACAAATCTCCAGATATGACTTCTGCAGATCGTCGTTGCACCGGCGGAGAGTCTCGAGTTGCAATTTGAGCCAGTGAATACTGATGTTTTCCTGATCCAACCGCTCTTGAATCCGGATCATCTTTTCCTTCGCCAAATCACGCTGGTCAATCAACCTATCCAGGTTCTTCGCCATATCTTTCTGCTTCTGTTCCTGTTTCTGCTGTTGCACTGATACGTAACTTGTTGATTGCACACCGAGCAAAGCGTCGAGCAGATTTCTCGGTGTTATGTTTCTTGCCGGATGTGGAGTTTCCTCACTCATGAGCACAACTCTTCACTACACTATTTCACAAATACTTCCGAACGTTCGAGGAAGTTCTTTGCTATTCTTCTTTCACTCGGATTTCGTATTTCAAACACGATCGATCATGTTTCGCGCGCACACACACTACTGCACGACGCGTCGTTTGGCAACTTTCTATTTTTTCCAACCGGTGGAAATCACAAATTTTCGCCAGAATATCTCCATAAATCAACAAAAACCATCACAAAATGTTCATCCGGTTCGAATGGACCAAAATGTTCATAGAAAAATATCATAAGAATTGGTTTTCGGAAGATTTGCTGGTGATTGAATCAAAACGCGTGTGTGCAGAACAAAACTTTTATTTCCACTAAATTTCTTCTCTACCTTTTCCTCTCTCGGTCCTACGCGGGATTACCGGGGGGTCGCCTGAAGTATTTCACGCGTAGCATCAGACACCTTGACACCTGCTATAGTCAGCTTTTTCACCGATAGAAGGTTCGCTCGCAAATCTGGTGCATAGAGAACGTTGTCTATGGTACACTAAACACCGAGACTGTTGACCCCGACGATTTTTTTCTTTGTGCCATGCTGTTATGGACTGGTCATCTTTTGCAACACATATAATGACGGGATTCTTCATTCTTTCAAGAGTTTCGAAATATCCCTTCTGGTTCACTAGGTGGTCACCAGTTCCTGAGTCTAGCTTGAAGGTAACTTTTCTTCGATCGCCGCTATTAGATGACCTACCACTCATCAACGCAACAGCCTTTCCGCCACTTGCTGCATTCGCTTCCGCATGAATCTTGCTTCTGCAGTCCTTGGCCATGTGTCCTTTCTTGTGACACCGATTACAATAACCTGTGAACTTCCGTGGTTTCTGTTTGATTCCAACAAGCGCCGACGGCTTCTCTTTGTGCTCATCGGTCATTTGGTCAGATTTCTTCTGCCAACAATCTTTCTCGAACGGCATCAAGGGTAAACTTATCTTCATCAAGGTTCTCCAACGGTACGACTAACTACAATAATTGTTTTCATATGTTTTACAACAAACTCTACAATGCCAACACCTAGCTACCTACGATGACTAGCCTCAGGAATAGATCAGGTCTTCCCCTGAAGGCCATTGCTTTTATGATAGCACTGTACTGTCCTGTTTCTGGCTTATCTCAAAGCGTCCCGGAATATACTGACCCCTGGCCCAATTTCTCCGAATATATCTCCTAGATCCGTCAGTTCCAACGCTTTAAGTAAACTGTCCAAAATTTAATAGAACCTGCCTTCAGAGGATGTGAAATCTTAACCCGTTTCCAAAGTCCTCCGGACTGGCCCTACCTATTTCCTAGGTCTGCCTTAAAATTTCACACTCTTCAAATGATTTGCATAGTTTGGGTGCGTATAACCAATCTCATACCGTCCACTGAAGCCACCAAATCTACCTCCCGCAGCAGGATCGATGAAGAATCGTCGTCATCCGGGGCAAAACGAACTCAATCAGCCTCTCCCGCTAAAGTAGTAACTCCGCAACTCGGCTCCCACGAAGCGGACAAGCCGCGCCGCACCGCCAACGTCTGTGAAAATCGTTCCAAGAGTAGTACACCAGCAGCAGCAGCAACAACACCTGCAGTCACCGGTACCGCCAGATCTACCGGTTCCGAAAGCGAAGATATGAAGCGTGCTTCTGCGAAGAAGCTTATCGAGCGATACTTTTACCAACTGGTCGACGGATGTGGCAATCCGAAATGCAACAACAAATACTGTGCCTCAAGCGGTAAGGTGGAAAAGCTTACCCCGAATGCGGCCGCCGCCCGTGCTATCCAGCTGTTCACACAGGAAGCCACCCTGTGCGATACGCACCCATCGAAGGTGCCAAAAACCATGGCCAGTGCATCTACATCGACGCCCGGATCTTCGTCGTCATCGGTGGCTACGTCAGTATCTGCTAGTGCTGTTTCAGTTAAGGATGGTAGTAGTAGTAGTGGAAATGCATCTGCTGGCAGTTCGTCCGGATCAAGTTCCGGACTGGATGATTCTACGGTCAGCACCGAAGCTGAATCTGCTGCTTGGCGTTTGATTACCGCTGCCAATCTGGAAGAGATGAACGATAGGTAAAATTTGGTTACGATTCGTTTCATAGCTTTTCGTTGCTTCCTGCTTGTTGTTGGATCTTTCTAAGATAGGCTTGTTTAGGGATAACTTATTACTTTCTTAATTCTAGTTCAAATCTCGACATGGACTCCATGGATGAAGATGAGCAGCGGGAATCGAATATACGAAAAAATCAAAACCACCATTACGAGGGTGGAGGCGGTGAGGGGAGTGTCAAGAGTCCCTATGCTCTCCGTAGCAGCGCTACTAGTCAGGGAAGCAGTTCGCCATTTGCCAGTAGCAGTAGTAATCTCATTGGTGGGAAGAAGAAAACGCTCAGCACTAGCAGCAGTTGCAACAAGGAATCTAGCAAAAAACAACGAGACTCATCGCCGGTAGATTCTCTGGACGAAGCTAAGCTTCGGGAGTTGATGGAAGCATGTAAGCGAGACAATTCGGACACACCGCTGATCCGTACCCTGGGTGCCATTTTTTCCTCGTACCAATCGATAGCGCAAAGCTTTCAAAAAAGACCCTGCTCGAGTATCGATGCGATGCTCGAGAAAGCACCGGAAGATTTGAAAAATCTCAAAAAAGAAGACTTACGAACCCTGGAGGGGGATCTGGACAAGGACGAAGACAGTTGTGCGGAGAAGGCGCCGCCGGAAACGAAGGAAAGGCATTATACGACGGTCGATTTGGTAAGCTTGCGGCGTTCGATGAAAGCGCTATACGAAGCGAATAGCTCCGTATTTGGTCCCATCAACAATGCCTTACAATCGCTAGGAGAAACGCTCAGTGTCGAACTGCGTGTGCATCTCACCCAGAAGGTGGATCTGGAAGAGATCGTTACGGTTTTTGTAATCGTCTTTGAAGTATTACAAATTGGAACGGCCGAGTTCCTGGAGGTATCGCTACCTAGGATTTGTGCTGCCGTTTGTCACCTGCCGGTTTGGGCCCAATCACGGTTAGTACACATCTGGGCGGTACACAGTAAGGATGGCATTCAACCAATGTTGCAGTTGGTGCAGCAGCTGGTAACAATCTCCACCCTTTCGCTGAACTACTATCGGGACGTCAAAATTCACGACAACGAGGTCGTGTGCAATGCGACCAAGGTGATGAAGGTGAGTAGGTTGTAGGCTCTCCCTTTTGCCCGATTTTTTGAAATATACTCCTTTCTAGCTCGTCTTCTACGCCAACATCCTGGCCGGTGACGTGGATCCCAAACACTACCGGGAAGCCGATATGGGTGACATTGCCCCGCCGACCTATCTTTCGCTTATCCCGGAGGATGACGAACCCCCAGTGTACAATAGCAAAGAAAAGAAAGCCAAACAACAAAAGCTAGAGGACCCTCTGGCGACCGAACTGGACGTTAACATCCTAGACTGTCGGAAGCCCCACGTACCGTACGAGGAGTTCTACAACGAACCCCTGTGCGACGTAATCGAAATGGACCACGACTATCTCAACTACAAAAACACTACCTCGGAGGGAGCATACTTTGCGAACTCGACCAAAAAGTTCAGCTTCATGCTGTACTCGTTCATCCTAACGCCGGCAACGAAAACGCTCGCCCTGTACTACGACTCCCGGATCCGGATGTACTCGGAACGACGGTTAACCTTCCTGCATCACCAACTGGGTGGCGGTGGGCAGCAGAACGGGAATCCTTTCCTGAAGTTGAAAATTCGCCGGGATCATATCATTGACGATGCGCTGGTCGAGCTGGAGATGATAGCGATGTCGAACCCGAAGGATTTGAAGAAGCAATTGGTGGTAGAATTTTCCGGGGAACAGGGAATTGACGAGGGTGGCGTATCGAAGGAATTCTTTCAGTTAATCATCGAAGAGATTTTCAATCCGGACTACGGAATGTTTATCAACATTGAAGACACCAACACGGTGTGGTTCAATTCAACATCGTTCGAAAACGAGGCCCAGTTTACGCTGATCGGAATCGTACTCGGATTAGCCATTTACAACAACATCATTTTGGCAGTGAACTTCCCGATGGTGGTCTACCGAAAGCTGATGGGAATGAAGGGATCGTATGTGGATCTGCGGGATTGGAATCCAGTAAGTGTTGACCGAAATTCAATCATCATAATTTAGACTTAAATCAATTCCTCCCAACAGGTTTTGTACAACAGTTTAAAATCGATGTTGGACCACCAAGACAACGACATGGAGGAAGTGTTTATGCAAACGTTTAAAATTTGCTACAAGGACGTGTTCGGCAATGCACTGGAGCATGAGCTGAAACCGGACGGAGACAAGATCTTCGTCAACCAGGACAACAAGCAGGACTTCGTGGAACTCTATACGGACTTTTTGCTCAACCAGAGTATCGAGAAACAGTTCAAAGCGTTCAAGCGTGGCTTCCAGATGGTGACGGACGAAAGTCCGCTGCACCTGCTGTTCCGACCGGAGGAGATCGAGCTGATAGTGTGCGGCAGCAAAGAGTTCGATTTCAACGAGCTGGAACAATCGACCGAGTACGAGGGTGGCTTCACGTCGGACTCGCAGACGATCAAGGATTTCTGGAATATCGTGCACGGGTTGTCGATGGAATCGAAACGGAAGCTGCTGCAGTTTACCACCGGTAAGTGATGCATATATTTAGGGAAATTAATGCTCGATGGAATGCCCATCCATCACTTACTATGCCAGTAAAAATCCAACATGGGTAGCGCTACCTCTTTTCGGAAGATTTGCGACTCCTACAACACGATTATGACAGTCGAACACCTGATTGTTAACTGTCCCTGCTTCCATAACATCCGGCTCCTCTATGGAATACCGGACAGCATGTGTATCGTCCTCTCTAACGACCCGTCCACGGAAGTAGCCCTAATAGTTTTCCTAAAAAATGCTGGACTGTTCTATAGAATATAATAAACCAATATATACGAAATGACTCCGCCTCGAACATGGACACCACTGGAATAAGCCTGGATATCACATGACGATTACCTTACTGCCACGCTAGAAACCAAAAAAGGAACTATAATGAACTCTGTTAAAAAATGCTGTACTAAGGGGACTCCCTTCTGGAGCCCCACCCACCTCTAGGAGAACCCCTTCTGGGGTCTCCAAACTCTCATCTATGTAACTAGGGAAGCCCCCTTCTGGGGCTTCCGGAGATGAAGCAGCCTGCGACTGAAAATCTCCTAAATGAAAGAAATTTAGAAGTTTTAACGAAATTGATCACTTGAAAACTTGGCCGCATTAAACGCTTTAAAATCTCGAATGATCTAAGGTACACAGATGGATGACGCATCAAATCGAAGGGTTTTCATAAAGCTTCCAAATGACATAAAGGAATAAGTTAACAACTTCAGCTTTTTTGAAAACTAACCACAAGATTACAAGAATGCTCCTGGGGTTTGTAAAGAATAATTATTCTTATATCAAGTTCCATGACCTATAACCAGGCTTACTGAAACTCCTCAAACTCACTGGAGGTTTTAAAACACTCTTGTCCTACGGGTTTATCCAGCCCTCACCTCGAGTGAGTGGTGGCAGGAATATGGAAGAAGTAAACAAAAACCCCTCGAGAGAGAGGGAGAATGAACTTCAGTGAGAGGATGATTTGACGTGAGGTGCGCTTTTCGAGCTCCGGATGACTTTTTTGTTCGACGCAAGAAGCTCAAAGTTCACCCAGAGTGAGAGTAAGAGCGTGTGATAGAAAACATGAACATAAATGGCAGCAAACCTCACTCTAATTTTATCCCCCTTCGCTCACAAGCTCTGAAGCTCTTTGGAATGATTTGGCAGTAGGCATTCTACTCCTCAGAAAAATGGTGCGCTCGGCTCATTTCAAACTCGGCAATGATCATTTTTTTTTCATATCACAACCGGTTATGTTGGGATTGATTGAAGAAGGGGTGTTGCTAAAGTCTGGAACGCGCAACAATTGGTCAACTTCAAATTGGTGTATTTCTGTTAATAATGCATAAAAAAAAACCTGAAATTCTGCATTTGGAAGTTGATATACAATGGTTGCTATGATGAGTTTTCACCGTTTGCTCTCCAGTTTTCAAAATGACGTCCAAGCAAGAGGAGCAGCGTGTCAAAATTTTGCTCGCGCAGCAAGAGAATCCAACGTTCTCACACGCCAAGTTGGCAAAATTGCTGGATGTGGCCAAATCGATCGTGACAAACGTTTTAAAACTGTTCGGGGAGCGTCTGTCTGCCTGGAAGCGGCGGCAATCGTAATCCGGACGTGGAAATAAGGCCGCGACGACGAAGAAGGTGGTGGTGAAATATAAGCGGAATCCTAACCTCTCCATCCGGGACGCCGCTGGAAAGCTCAATGTCTCCCATACTACTGTGCAGCCCAGAACTCTGCCCTATCGAACGGTATTGGGCCTTGGTCAAACGGAGTCTCAAAAAAAAACTAATAAATCCATGGAAAAAGAGCAGCAGTTTAAATCTTACTGGCGTTCGGCGGCGAATTGTGCAAAATTTATTGGAGGGGTTAAGCGGAAGGCACGGCAGTTCGGATTTGGCAAACCAAAAGAATAAACGAACATTTTTTCCTCTAAGGTATATGAATTGAACTACCACAAGAAAAATAAGAAGATTTTTGTGATATGAATTTTGACTGAAGGAAACGATTTTTTGTCGATCAATTTTTGCGCGTTCCAGTCTTTATGCAAGCGATTGTCCTGATTTTGGTCATGCTTGGTTGTCGGAATGATTGTACGCAGCCCTGTGCGGAATGATGTACCTACTGCTTCGAACAAGCATTAGGATGGGCGCTGACTGTTTTAAGGAATCCAATTCGATTCTGGAGAATCCATTGCGGGAATGCTGAAGATTCACGGTAGTGGTTTGTGAAAATTAGATTGTGGCAACATCAATAACAAATGTTGACACATGCACACTTCGCTGACGCAGAAAAAGTTCAGTATTGCCAGTAATTTAAAGATAAGACAAATTTGTAATCATGGGTGCCAAACAGTGCCAATGAGTATGTGCCAAAACTTTTTTTTTTATAGCAGACTGTGCGGAGTGACCAACCCCTTGATTGAAGCACAAAGCGGAAGCAGCAAGCTTTCGAAAAACACTTTTCAGAAAAGTTGATGCTTTGCTGACAGAAATGTGAAAACAGAAAGCTCGACAACAAGCATTCAATGTAGATGATTATCGGTATATCACACTTTGTCAGGTTGCTTTTGAATCGACTAAGACAGCAAAGCAAAGCGTAGTGCCTCCGACCAAATTTTCGTCTTAAGAAGGATTTTAGATGAAAAATGGCGCAAATAATGTTACAACATACTAGTGTTGCTGGATCGTCTGGACATTTCAAAAATAGTGTTGATTAGCCTATCTTCACGAAACTACTTCGATGCAATGGTTTGGACAGAGGACCAACTCAACACAGAAAGGAATTGGCGTATTGCAAGGAGATCCACTAACTCCAGGTATACTTGTTCTCTTACTGCATCACACGTTGATGTCAGTCAATAAGCTTCTACCAGAAATCATGCTTGAACTAGGTTGTAGTATCAAATTACCATGTCAAATAGGACACATTCTAATCCTCATGTACTGATACGATCCGACCGCTCAAAATTTATGATTTGTCATCGAGAAGTAAATAGACATCCACACCTGACCAGACACCAACAGGTGGATCTGACCTCAGCCGGATACCCAGAACCAGTTTCGAAAAATGAGATACATGCGTTGAATTCTTCAAATTTAGTTATTGTAGACTTTTTGATGATTGTGACTACATCTTTCATGGCTTCGATAATCGAAAGCCACGTGTCATTTTGGGCAAACAACTTACGATTATGGGCTCTATTATACACACAAAATTATGTTTTTTTTTTTATTTGTCACACGATAGGTTTCTAACGCAAAAGGGAATTGGTCATTTCCAACGGGCATTCCAGAGCATGAGCATGAGCATGATTAACCGCCCACGGTTGCTACTCTGTTATTGCCAGATCTGCTGTAATTACACAGAAAACCAATAGACGGGACTAGCAGTCATCCTCAATGTGTAAAAACTGGTGATCACAAACTAGGCAATACCAGCGCCGGCCGCGCCCGAACACAGGTCCAGAAAAGAATGGATAGGAATGTGTGGACGTGACACTCGCTTTTATGGAAGCCGAGGAGTCCTCTGCACTTCCACGAGGAATCACTGGGATGTTGGGTAAGAGGGTAGGGTTTGCAGCAGGGTTCGTTTTGGTAAACGATAAACTGAATTGATGTCCTAACGATCATATAACGCGCAGGAGCTTAGGATTGAACCCACGGTATTCTGCTCAGCAAGCAAAAACTTTTGCCACTAGGCAAACGAGCTCCTTTTTAATCATCGAGTTACTGTTATTACAAATGTAGGTAGTCATATAATCAAATAAAACGATTCACGAATCTTCAATGTGGATGGGCCTGAGATTAGACTCATGATGTTCTGCTCAGTAAGCAAAGGCGGTCGCTCTAAGGTCACCGAGCCCCTCGTATCACATCATACCGTTACTCGAGTTGTTGCGATCATTCAAACCTGACACCGACGACGACAACAAGTTTCGCAAAATACACGATAAACAAGCGATTTGACCATACATCTCTTTAATATGAAAGGATCTGGGACCACGTTTTTCTGCTCAGTAAGCAAGCCACTGCAACCGAGGGCTACAAAATGGTGAGTGACAATCTGGAAGGAGCGATATACCTAGCTCCGGTCCTCACAAGTTCCTACCTCACGCCTCCACGAGTCATATGATCACAAAAGACTGCCAGCTGAAACATGGACACAGCTGGTTGGCGTAGCCTGGGCAATGTTGTCAATCCGACAATAGCAGAGTGAGGAGGTGCGAACACTGACGCGGTAACCATAGCACGGTGATAGAGGAAATGCTTCGCCAACCCGAGCGTCTGTTCGCCATGAAGGTGCGTCTGACTGGCATCCAACGGCTGAATAAGAAATGCTCTTCCCCGGAAGCTACACCTAAGATGGCAGCCCCATCACGGCGGATAGGAGACCTACCACCTACTGTCTCTGAAACCTTTACAATTGTTACAGAAATCAACAGAGAAAGACATCGAACTGATATAACGGCAACGACTTTTAGCGCAAAGCAACGGACTCGAATTGGATCATGGAATGTATTGACGTTAGCCCAGCAGGGTAAACTGGCACAACTCGCCAACGAGGCGCGACGCATGAAGCTAGAAATCCTGGGACTGAGTGAAGTTCGTTGGCCAAACTTTGGAGAACACAAACTGCCGTCGGGACAGGTACTACTATACTCTGGTATACGAGGTGAAAACGCTCCCCGCCATCGTGGAGTTGGTCTCCTACTTAGCGTCCAGGCAAGTGCTGCGCTCATCAAGTGGGAGCCTGTTGATGAGAGGATAATCGTTGCCAGATTTAGAACACGGGTTCGTAACCTTACCATAATCCAATGTTATGCGCCAACTGATGCTGCCGAGCTACAGGACAAGGAAAATTTTTACAGTCAACTGAATGCCGTCGTGAATAAGGTTCCAAAGGGTGACATCAAAATCTACACTGGCGACTTCAATGCGAAGATCGGCTCCGACAACACGGACTATGAGCGTGTCATGGGACGCCATGGT